TTCCAGCCACTGAAATCAATGATAGTTTCCCATGCATTTGAATAATAACTATACCATATGCCTAAATTTCAGTTGGTTTAAGAGATTGGCTGTAATAGTGCATATTTGTAAAGTAACTATTTGCACTCAGATGATTGATTGATTGATTGATTATTGATTGATTGATTATATACCATCAAGTATGGTCGTGTTATATAAATGAATGTTAGCAATTATTTCTTTTATTGTCTTATTTTATAGCAATTACTGTTGATAATTAATAAATCTGTTATCCTTGCTGCTTGATTAATTTGTCTGAATTAATGCTTTCTGGTATTAAAAGGATTAATTTGCTTTATAAATGTTTCACGATAGTTTTTGCCTTGAAAATCACTATTTGTCATAATATTTTTCCATTTTGCCTCTGTAAATATTATATTTGTGTAATAATAAGTCACAAATTATATCAAGGATTAATTCTGGGATCCCATATGCAGCTTAAGCTCATAGGAGGGAGGTATTGGCATAATTTTTGCTTTGTCTTTTTGAATGGGAGACTCAACTGCTTTATCACAAACTGCTTTTGAAACTACTCCCAATCTGTAAAGCAGTATTCCATGTGGCATTAAGGGCTACTTTTTGCTGAAAGCTATGTTGTAGATTGTAGCTCTTGTCTGCAGGTGTAAATCATGTGTTAGCTAGATATTACAAAATCTTACTGCATGATAAATCCACAGAGTAGGAAGAAAGTTGCATTGAAAATTATGAGTGCCAGAAAGTGTATTTAGAACAACTTCTACAGTATCTGTTAGTCTTCTAATGTTTGCCTTATATATGTTCAACTATAGCACTTCCTGCTTCAGAACCTTGTGTTATTCCAATATTACTATCTGTGCTCCTTCAACTACAAATTGGATGAACAGACAGTGACACTTTTTCAATATTATTACATTAAACCAAGTGGATTTTGATTGATAACCTAATATTCAACTAATGCAAAACATCAATCATGGCAAGTATATTAATTATTTAATATTGCAGTCTAATTCAGAAATCAATGTGCTGCATGAGGGAAAGGAAAACTCACTTTTCCCAGAAGACTTAAGACAGGGAATGATTAAAAAAAAAAAATCTTCTATACTCTTGTGTGTTAGTTCAATACAGATCTTTATTCATTTGCCAATAATATCTTTCCCTTTTCCACTTCAGGACCATTTTATCAGTTTTAAGATCTATAATTGAATTAAGTCTGCTTTCAGCACAGAGCAAAAACAGTTGTGCAAATATTGATGAAGTTGTGACAAGCACAGGATAGGAGACAGACCACTAAAAAGAACAAATTTGATACCATTAGCAAGAAGCTTTGTGTATCAGTGACCTAGGCTCTGCTTCCTAGCAATTAAGTTCATTATGACCTTCAGCACCAATATAAATAGAGGACTTGAATTTTCTGTTAATAATGCATGATGTGGTATAGTAAAATTTGATTATTATTCTGCATGTTTCATGAGTCTAACTTTTTATGTGTGTGACGAGGTTTTTTTTTAATGTATTGTAATAGGAACAGATATTTGTTGCAGATTTTCAATCTGAAAAAATCTGAATAAGATATCTATATGGACATTTTCAAAATGCATTTAATAGTTTTGTGAGACTAGGCTGAAGTTGCCATAACTAAAAATGAAGCAGGCAAGTAAGCAGAGAGGACAAAAAGCCAGAAATCTTGTCTAAAAGATCCTTTGGGGAGGTAGATAAGAAGGAAACAAGTCGTTAAGGAAACAAAGGAAAAAATGTCACCTGAACCAGACAAAGGAAGTTGGACCTGGGTACATGGACCCTTCCCCCAATCCCATCAACAGCTACCAGACTTGTAAATTAACAAGGCAAGAGTAGCTGCCAGTCTTGTGAATCAACAAAGCAGGGACTTTTGGGGAGAAAAGGGATCCTGAAGCCTGCCCACTCTTTGAGTCGTCTTTGGATCCAGACTTGGCAGCTTCTGTTCCTCTAGCTAGTGCCTGGCAATCTAGTTGAGAAGGACATGGGTAAGTGTGGATGAGAGTGTGTGTGTGTGTGTGAGAGAGAGAACAAATGTACATTGTAACCAGTAAAGTTTTGCTGTTACTTTAAATTCACTGGATCTCCATATATTCCTAAGAACCTGTTGTGCCCCAGTGTTTCGTTGGAAGTGATTTGTATGTATCCCTAATTATTTCCTGGCTGTTGACCAGGGCTGGGTGTCTTGTCTGCTCTAGCCACCCCTATCTGGAAAACAGAGGTAGAAAGTGGGGGCTGGGCTTACAAGATCTGCGTGCCTCGACAGGCTGTGAATGTGTGAGTGACTGAACATAAGCTGAACCTGGGAGTGCCTGTAACAGTTTGAACAATTAATATTTACAAATGTTGTATATAATTAGTATTTATAATCACTATTAGCACTGTAAATGCTGAAAATAGCCAGATACAAGAATTTTGCTGTGATAATTTGCTGTAATTTGCTGTTGTACAAATCCCTGAATATTCTTTTGAAACCTAGCTGCTCATCCTTTTACAACCAAAGTAAAATAAACCCTTCAATGCTATCTCTGGAAATTCTTCCTACTGTGATAGAATTTTTATATAGAAATTCTTCATTTTTATAGCTTTTACTCAGACTTATCCTTTGACAGCATCCAAAACTTATTTTACTTGATGCATGTGTAGACCAGGTTATCATTTAGAGACAGAGATCCATTAAACCAGCTGAGCATCTGGTAAGTCACTTTAGGTCAAGTATTGATTCATTTAGTATATTTATATTGGCTATATAATTCTCTTGATAGATCACAGATAAAAATATAAAATACAATATTATAAACCACATGAAAAGAATTGCAGTGTAAGCATTTTAGTAAATTCAGGTATATTTACAAGTATACAGTTTTAAAACCAATGTAACAATTCTGAATGTCAGAAATTTAAAGATAACTTTAATAAAGTGGAAAAGATCAGAAAAGGTGTCAGGAAAGTCTCTCTAGTGAACTTCATGCTTACCTTGAGTGGGTTGGTTCTTATACACTCGATTGGCTTAGAGGACTCTTCTGACTATACTTTGGACACAGCTATCTGGAGGAAGATTATATGGGTTCATCCAAAGACACTTAACTTCTGGGAAAAGCTTACTGACTTTGCTCCTTGTTTATAAGCAGGCTTGTTTCAACTTGGTTGCGTTCCTGGAACCTGATATTCTAGTCTATCTTATATACCTTTGAAGAATGGACCACCATTCCATGGGCCATGCTTCTCACCATTCTAACTTGGTTGAAAGATTCAAAGTTGTGAAAGAAAAAAATAAAGGCAAATGGGGTAGAGAACCTACTAAGAAGCAAGGAATTTTTCTGCAGGCACGCATAGGCATCTGCAGCTTGTGAAAATGATGCCAGTGTAATGAAAGATGCTTTGTGATGTGATGATGCAAGCTTTTCCCTTTTGCACTTGCATTGTGACATCACACACAAGTACAAAAGGGGCAGAGTTTGCATTAAAACATCACAATGTGTGTTTTATCGCATTATCCTCTTTGCTCCCCTCACCCCTATGGATGGCTGTTAATGCCTACAGACAGCTGGTTAGTAGCCTATTTCCCAACCCAGGGAAATGTTCTTCTTTTTCTCTAACCTACAGAAAATGGTTTTGATTAAAAGTGAGATATGTTTTGCACAGAGTCTCATTTTATTATTTCACAGTTCCACAAAACCCCATGTTGAAAAAGGAGCAAAATGTACTTCATATTTTTTTTGAACCAGCCTCCCGAACTGAAATGCAAACCAATATATTAGTTCTGAATTTCTCTTATTTTGTAGTGCACCTTTAAGAAAGGTTTATATTAAATAAAATAGGTTTTAGAAACATTTATTATAGAAAAGAATGCAAAGGAGCATATAATTCATATTTTTTTAAAAAATCTGAATAGTAAGGAAATTATGTCGAAAACCAATTGTATTCTCATAGTATTCTGTTTGCAAAATCACAGACCAATAAAAAAATAAGAAATAGAAAATGAGTTTATATCTATTTTCATTGCATTGAAAATAGGGTTAAATTCTAAAATAATTTGGTCCCTGACTTAAATTGAATGGCTAAAATGTTTAGTGCATGTGATGATAGAGAAATAAAAGCTCTGGTTTATGATAGGATTTTTTTTTTATTGCCAAAAACTTGCAAATGAATTTTTGCTTATAATAAAAAGCAAGTACTCCAGGCAGTATATGGAGTTTTGTGTTTTAAATTTATTCATATTTAATTTTGATGATGTTATGATCCTGAAGAGAAAGCTATTTAGCAGGATGCTTAGAGGTAGATATGTTTAAATCAGTGGGGCAAGTTAGCCATGATTTAAGTTATCCATGGATTGTGTTGGATCTCCAGACACAAAATCTGAGTCACCATCTTCTTCCTTCTCAATAGATCTACTGCCCTGTGAACTGATCAAAAGATATTGAACAAATTGACTACAAGTCAAATTTTTATTTTTGTTTATAGATTGTGTATTGATTCTCCTAAACCAGCATCACTTCTGAAGTTGATGAATCAGCTGAATTTCTAAATGAAGTTTGTTTGGATGTTAAGATCATACTTTTCCACATCAAAACAATTTTCTTATTCCTGGGAGAATAAAGAATTGAATTAAATTGGAGAGCATTGAGTTTGCACATGATTGAAAACACTCATTTCTTTTTATAAATGGTATATAATTCTGGTTTTAATAAAGGGTTTAAAATGTACCAACTGGCACCAATCATATGCATGAACTCATTCTTATTCTGATATACATTTATATACTATTTTAGATTTTATGGTGAAGACACTTTGAAATTATTCTAGAGGGATACATTTAAGTTTTATTTAATAATATAGATTCAGACATTAAAACAAACAAAAGGACAGATCAGTATAACTTCCTTCTTTTAACTTTAGAAGTTCAACATAAATAATTGTATACCAAGGATTAATAACTGTTTAGAATTTTTGTTCTTCTATTTCAGGGATGCTGGAAACATCAAAACTGGATTAGAACATCTGGTAAGTTGTAATTTTCTGTTGAATATTTGCATCATCTTTGATATCTGCATTCTAGAACAGTTCTGAATGAGCTTTGAATAGCTTGAATTGAGAAAGTCAACTATTTCCCAGAGGGTCAGCTTACTGTTATTATGTGTGATGCACTTACATTTTCATTTATCTTATGTTTCAAGGGATTTTAATTTATTACTATTTTTTATGTAGAAATTAAATAAAATGGGCTATAATCCTTGGATTGATGATTTAAGGCAAATCATTATAAACTAAAAGTTGTTCTGCATTGGGTTTTTTGCATATTTAGGTGTGAAAATATCAAACTTCTGTTTTGCAACACACATTCAAATTTTGTTTACACAGATACAACATTTCATTAATTTGATATTTTTAAATGTGGTATGTGCTTTCTTAATATATTATGAATTACTCATTTAAATGCTATGTAATTGTAAAATAAAATACATGCAAAATATTTAAGTGCAGTTTTGAATGAAAACATAAAATGCTTAATAGTAAACACAATGCTGTCACCAAGGTTAATATACTTGTTTAATTCTAGAAATGATTCCAATCCAAATAACCTCATACAGAGTTCCGTTTATGAAACAAGATAGGAAAGGCAGGTGGGTCAATATGGATGCTCTGGATACACAGTAAGGGAAGATGCTATGGCTGTAATCTATAAGAACAATATTTTCCTTTCTAGAATACCTGTGAGAGAACTGGTTCATGTAAAGTATGTATTGCATCCAACTTCTAGGCCTCCCTAAGGCCTGAAAGCTGGCTGGGTGACTTTGGGCCAGTTGCTCTCAGCCCAACCCACCTCATAGGACTGCTGTTGTGGGGAAAAAGGAGGTAGGAGTATTAGGTATGTTTGCTGTCTTGACCAAAATATATAAGAAGGGGTGATTAAAATCTAAATAATAATAACAACTACAACAACTTATGTCTTCAGTGCACGCACAGACACACTTTCTTACCTCTCCACATACATATGCAATGTTCCTTGTGAGTATTGGGACTTTCTTAGTTCTCCCAGTACCTTGGAGCACCACTCACAACTCCTCTTCTTGTGGGGCTCCCTGGGGCTCTTATCAGTCCAGTAATTCCAAGCTTCCTGCTGTAGCAATTTGAGTCTATCAGTCAGCTCCATTCTCCAGAGAACTCAGCTAAAACTGCCTTAAAATATCCTGATAATACCTCTGTTAGATTAGCCCATAAAAGACCATGTATTCAGTTATGGAAATCTCTACCCAGAATATTACAGTCACATTCTTGACAGGTTGGTCTCTAAAGTATTCTATATATCTCATTCACTCATACATTTCATTCCCTCAGCAAAGTAAGCTATGTCCATCAGACTTAAGGATCAGATCCAGGTTCACATTACACTGTTTCTTTACTTTAAGGCTTAGTAAATAGTTTCAATAGTTGCTGAGCATCCTAATTATAGGCAAGGGAAAATGAAAGAAGGGAAGGAGAGAGGAGTGAGGTATAGAAGTGTCTCTAAAGGTCTAGATGTTGGAGGGAGTGGCTTCTTTTCTGCATTCCAGTGTTAAGCTCTCACCATCTGTTGCAAAGCTTACTTAGCACTTTGTCAATCTTTAGACAGGATCAGTTTGGAGAAAACAGAATGCGGTGGGCAGACCTTTCCTGGGCAGCAAAGAGTATAAGCATCAGCTTCTTGTTTTCTTCTTTCAGACTTTTTTTCCCTATCATTTGATAAATGATTATGACTGTTTATAACTCTTGTACCCTCATTAACCTCCTTCATGGATCACTGCCTTGTCGTGGCGAAGGGGCTTGCGTAACTCAGTGAAGCCATGAGC